TTTGAAATTCATTTGTGTATTAAAAATTTCAAAAAAATGATTTGCATCGAACAAAAATGTTATCTGTCAAAATAAAAATGAACAATTTAATTTTATGGTAAATTAAATTTATAAAAAAATATATTTTCAAAAATGTTATTACTTCTCGAGACTCAATGAGGAAATGTGCTTAACTTTAAAAGCGAAAATTCAGTTTAACTTAATTGAATACTAAGCTACATATTTTCAGATATTTTTTTATATATATATACACTTCTCGTTATAATCCATCTAACAATGTGATAATATCTAAGACAAGAATTGTTYTCTAACGGCGTGYCATGTGTTACTAAAATATTTGCCATTCRCAGAATTATTTATTTGTGATGCGCAGAGTATAAATAATTTAATTACGTTATTGTACGGAGGAACACAAGATATGAAGAACATTGCAACAATAGCCTCATTTTAAACTTATATATATATTTATAGTTATTGGGTACTTCATTAAAACTAATTAATCGTTTTAAATGAATCACCATTTTTTTTTTACATTTAAACTAGATAACTATCGTAAAAAAATATTGAGAAGCATTTCTCTAGAGCAGTGTTTCTTAAACTGTGTTCYGCAGAACTCCAGAGTTCCGCGTAGATCACTTCAAGGTTTCGCGAAGCGTAAGTAATTTGTTTTAAATGTTCAAGAAAATTACTTTAAAATATCCATTATGGAAAAAAATACTTATATATTAAATAATAATGTATAAGCCATTTAGAATAATCTATCAGCTAACTCTATATTCAATAATCTATACTTCTACTTAATAAATCATTTATTTGCAAATAATCCTAAAAAAGCTAAAAAGCTAAAAAAAAAGTAGGGATTCCACGATAAAAGTGGACATCAAAAAGGGTTCCAAGAATTAAAAAGTTTAAGAAACGCTGCTCTAGAGATTTAATGCAATGCMAATTGTCCATAAACCACTAATTAATAATTGTTTTAGTAATCAGCAAATTAAGGGTTGAATTTGTTTTTATTTTTTATTTTAAAATTATTTAGTGGTAAATAATTCCAAGAAACATTACTAACTATGAGAATGCGGTTGACACAATGAACTATTTAATTTTCCAACTACCTAATATAATTAGGTTTTTTTTTATAAATCCGTAGATTTGTTTGTCTCCATACTTCTATGTTGTAGTACAATTTTTTTAGGTCTTTGTAATTTTTCTTAWTAGTATCTTGTATTATCTATGTCATGTATTCTGCCCTTGGTTTTCGTCTTGCATCTTTTACATCTTGTACAATTATTTTCTTTAATTAACTATCATGCCTTAATAAGTGTTCTATCATCTTGCATCTTCTCGATTGAATAGGTACTTTTCCATATTTGTCGTTGTTTCTTTATTTTGTCTAGTACTTCCTTATTCGTTATCCTCTCGGTCAATGGTATTTTAAGCATTTTCCTAAAGCACCACATTTCAAAGACTTCCAGCCTATTTTTTTTCCATTAATTTTATTGTCCAGGCCAAGAGCGCTACATTCCATATATAACTTTTTAAAAATTTTTCCTTATCTTCAGGCTGATACTATTGGTAGTATATGTGCCTTTTGTCTTGAAAGGCTCTTTTAACCTGCGCTATCCTGAAAATTATGTTTGTTTTGATGTAGCCATCCTCTGTTTTATTGCTTCCTAGGTATGTGAATTGCTGTACTTGCTTTATTTGTTCATTGTCGATATTTATATTAAGTCGAAGCATATTAGCTTTACCATATACCATAACTTTCGTTTTCTTTTTGTTCAGTTGCATTCCATACTTAGTTTTTAGTAYTCTATCTATCGATACTAAGGTATTTTGTAGGTAATCTTCATTTTCCACGCAGAAAACTATGTCGTCCGTAAATCTTAATGCAGTAATCATTGGTCTTCCTATTCACACTACTTTCTTTATTTCTGTTCTCAATTATTTCATTGCCTCTTCAATTCACAGGTTGAA